CTTTTTATAACATGGAATCAGAAAATTGGGTTGGCAGTCGAATTTTTTTTCTGTCAGTTCTATCGGATACTTTCGGGTAATAAGGTCACTGTCGGGTAATACCGGATTAATTTTTGAAAAAATTTACATGGCAAAAATAGAATAATTGGCACAATTGGGGCTTAAAAAAAAAAAAAAAAAATCGAAAATTTGAAAAAAATGGGTCGGCGGGTAATGTAAAACGAAAAATCAACTTTGCGTGGCCTTAGATGGTTGCTGAGAAATCGCTACAATCACATACAATCAATTGCAATCGAACAATCGGCATGCAGCGATCTACAAATTTTATCAAGGGTACATCAATAGCGATAAATATTAATAAAGATATTATTAAATTACTTGGCCATCGAGTAGATAATGTATCTAAAATGAGCTAAAGGGGGAAAATTATTACCACAAATTAGTTGAAATCAATTATAAAACAGTCTATTTAAATAAGTTAACATTTCTTTACTTTATTCATCTCACGTAAATAATCAGTAATGACCGTTTTTGCATCTATGCCTGAAGGAAGGGATGGCTTGAATTCATCTCTAATACCGCGGAGGTGAAACATGAATAATTCTACTGGCTTAAGCGGTGGTTTAGCGAGTGTCCCTTTTTTCTTTGAAGGTTCTTGGATCAGAGCTGGGTAGCCCCAGTCTGCAAGTTGCAAATTCTCATCGTATGATACTACAGTATTAGTTTTAAATACGCCTGCTTGTGCTCGCCTAAAATTAAAATCATCGAAGGTTACCCATAATTTTTAACAATATCTTCTGATGACTTCTGATAAACTTCTAAATCGTGCTTATATATTACCACTATAAAAATAATAATGTTATTATTATATTTTGCATAGCATAAAAAATCTGAAATGAATAACCCGTTCGACAATATTGAGCATTTAATCAAATTAATTGGATATGATCCTAAAACGAATACATTCAACTTATCCAATATTAAAATTTTATAGGTCTTAACATAATTTGATGTCCAATATTGTCTAGTAAAATTTTAAACTCACTTTATCATTTGTGATGATAATTTCTGGATTATCCCTAGATGCATATGCAAATCCTATATTATTACGAAAAAAAATAATTTATTCGCCATAATAACCAACAAATTAGGAATTTTATTTTAATATAAATGTATATATTTTGCTGACCTGAATGGGTAGGTCCAATTTCTAATAATTAATATAAATGTATTGTAAGTAAAGCTGCTTCAGTAATTTAAGGCACGTAAGAATATCATACATACCAAGGGCTACAACGTATCGAATATCTGGTCTTTCTATATTGTTTTTATGTATAATATTCTTTGGTATAGCTAAATTATCAAGTTGGTACATTCTTAAAACTATTATATAAGAAAACGAAATTATAGCCAAGTTTAATAATAAAATATTGCAATACTAACATATTGATTTTGTATCGTATTCCTGCTCATTTCCAGGAGTGAATTCATCATCAGGGTAAGTCCATCTAAGCTCCTGAGTTACCGTATTGAAATAATAATATGCATTACCATCTTCGGTAGGTTCTTGTATCCAATTTTCTGGTAGTGGCCTATGTTTATTAGTAAAAATATTCGAACTAGTGGATGTGTTTACAATTGGTAAATTTGGTGATGTTTGGTTATTAAATGCATTATTAACATTAAAGTTGATTTTGCCATTAAATGCATTGTTGGCATTAAAGTCTGTTTTTGCTAAATATTTTTCGTATAATGGTGTAGATAAATTAGGATTCAAAGGATTGTTTGTATACATAGGTAACGTGTTAGATAAAGATAGATTGGGTATGGAATTTGTGTTAAGTGAAGATGTGTCGAAAATAACGGGGCTAGTATGTTTCATAAAAGAATTCATGGTGGATTGTGCAGAGACATCGGTTCCAATATAAATACTGTTACCAACGCCACTCAGCGTCATATCTTGTCCACTTGAAATCATATATTGTTCAGTCAGAACATCTTGCTCATTTGGAATAACATCTTGTTCACTCTGAACTATATTTTCATCAAAATAGATTGGATCCATTTTTATATGATTTAATTTATGACGAATTTCAGCTATGCTAGGGCGTAAATTTGGATCTCCATTCCAAGCATTAGTATAAAGATTTAAAAAATCAATCGGAGTTCCATTAACTGGAGTTTCTCTTTCTCCAGAAATTACAATAAGTGATATTTGTGTTGTGTCAGCTATATCTTTAAAGGGAGGAACACCGCTTG